CAATCATCTCATCAATGGTGGAGCCCTAATTCAAATGCAGTGATGTTAATATACTAAATGTCTAAATTTAATATTACTTTCAATGATATACAAATATAAATATAAATATAAATTGCATTTATAAATAAATATATTCATTTTACAATTGCTCACAACGTGTTTTCGTACTTTTTGAAAGTGTTGTATATTTTTTTCTTTATCAACACTTTCAAACACATCCATTCCAATAAAAACAACCAAACAATCATTCATCGAATTATATCTCATTCAGTTGCGCAATCTATTCTTCACTATCTTCATTACTGAAAAAAACTATTCTTTCAACACTTGCAGTCGCCATTAATAATATTAAAGCTAATTTCACAATATAAAAGCTAATGAAAAATTGAGTCGAATTTAAATTAAGATGGAGGGTTTATGGAATTTAAATTAGAATTAAGGGTACTTTTCAGAGTAAAAATGAAACTCGAATATGAAATAATCTTATAGTACGTCCTTGATATAGAATACTGGATGAGAAAAAATAATAATTTTGTGTATTGTTATGGCTATACACTTGAGTTTTGCTCTTCTAAGAATAACCATTTTCCGGCGACGGTAAAGAATGTGAAAGTCTCGGCGACTGGCGCCTTGGAGTGCTTGTATTACTGAATGTCCATTAGCAGTGGAATAGTAGATATGGGGAGGAATGCATAAAGTGCTATGGTAGTCATGTTGTGTGTGCATCTAGGGGCTTGACCATCGGACATTGTATAAACTGATCTTATTTGGTTTCTTTTGTAATGCAAATTTGTAGCGAAGAACCAGAAATACAAGAAATCCAAGAAGCAACCTGTTGAGATTACGGACAGCCATAACACTGATGATGACTTCGTTGATCCTCCGGTTCAAGAAACAAGTACACAGGATAACCAAGACTGTTTGTTTTTATGCAGTTACGTTTTGTAAAGTGTGCATTTGTGGGTGTATTGTATGTTAGTGAAAGTGTGCATCAGGGAATATTATTCCAGTGCAATTTTGAATGTTTATAATGTGCATAGTAGAGGTTTGTGGAAAATATTGCCAGGGCAGAATTCTCCTTTGGTAGTGTGTGCACTTTGATTTTAATGCACTGCCCAATCACGAAACTTGGACATCTGTTGGAATGAAATAAAACTTCAATCACAATTTTCATACATATTATACACTTGGTGTAATTCTTTTTTTAAAAAAAAAATTCAAAACGCATTTTAAAAACCCATGAATTAAAAGAACATGCTTGGAAGAAAAAAAAAAAAAAAGATTGCAAGTAGATTAAAATATGAATGGTAATACAGCAACACACATAAAACGATATCAACAATGCACAAATCAAGTTCTTACCTGGGAAGTGGTTCTCATATGATTGGTAATACAGTAATGGTAAAAATCAAGTAAAAAAGATTGCAAGTAGATCTTATGGATGCACAAAACCAATCTGAAGAAGTCAGCCTTGTTTTGAATCTTTAGCTTTCTGCCTTTCTGGATATTGGACACTGATGAAGCTATTTCATTATTGTCTTCTTATTCCTATCCCAGAATAACTGATATTCGTTTAGATCTTGCTTCTCCACCCTCGATGTCCTTAGTTTTTTTTTTTTTTTTTTTAAAGACTGATAACCACTTAGATCTTTTTGTTGCTAGTGTGTTTCCTGTTTGAATCTCCATCGTCATTTTGTTTGTACACTGTTTGTGAGCATGTCAAGTTCTTGCTAGCACAATGGTACACCTAAACTAAATATTTTCTTACTTTTTGTTTTCATATGTTGCCTTCTGTTTTGAGTGTTTTAAGTTCACTTAATGGTTTCATAGGTTGCCTATAGAGATTAGAGATTAGAGAATGTCTGTGTAAAACAGTTCAGATTTTTTTGAGATTTTGAATCGCTCATGCAAAAATGATGTGAGTTATTGCTTGAAGTTGTGAAAGATTTGCACAATAAGGAATAGGCTGTGACGTGGTACATAAACCAATCTTTCTGGTACGTTTTGAAAGAGCTTCTTGAATTAGACGTCTTTCTGGTAAGTTTTGAAAGAGCTTATTGAATTAGATGGAGGGAGAAGCCCGCCGGCAACGTGTAATCTTTTTAAAAATTTTATTTTAAAATAAATAATCTTTTTTTTTTGAAAGCTACTGGCTCTATTACATTGTAGTATCTGTTCATATACTTTCTCAACTTACTGAAACACAAAGAACCAATAACGCCTCCACTGAGGCTTGAACTCATAATCTTCCAAATGGAAGTCCAACCCAGGTACCATTAGACCACATAGTCCTGGTACCTACAAAATAATCTAATTGCACAATTTTTTTTATTTTTTCTTTTTATTTTTTTGAAAGGAATAATTGCACAAAATTTAAAAAGTTAGTGGTTAAATTGCATTAAAATGAGGAGTTAAGGTGTTTAATTAAAATTTTTGTTAATTTAAGGATTTAATTGCTCTTTAGCTTATAGTTGAAGGGCCTATTTGACCCTTATCCCTTTTTTTTTTTGTTCAAAGGGTTCTAAGGAAAACATGGGTTATATGAGTCAAAAAAAAAAAAATAAAAATTTCTTTTTCAGTAAAAATGAAATAAACTCTTTTTTTTCCTACTTCGTTTTCTTTTTTATTTTCATAATTTTAGAAAAGAGTTAATTCCAACAATGGTTCTCTGATTATTGTGATTTTTTAAAAATTGGTCCTCATTTTTTAATTTAGACAAAATAGACCCTTAACTATTAGATTTGTTCTATCATTGGTCTATCCGTTAGTTGAGCGTTAGTGAAGAGTGTTCCATCATTGGTCCATCCGTTAACTATCCGTTAGTTGAGCATTAGTGAAGAGGCTAAAATGGTCATTTCCTTACCATTTCCTCTGACCCATCATCAACCCATCCTGTAATTAGGATCTATTCTTCACTTCTTCTCCTTCCCTTTGTCTCCGCGGTGAGAGTAGCGGAGCAGGGGCCGTGCCCGGTGGATTTGGCAAGAGATTAATCACGGTGGCGTCCTTGGCAGCCGCCATTGATCTTTCTTGGAGGAGAATATTGCGCTCGTGCTTTATCCTCATCTGAGCCCTCCAGGCGTCCTCTCAAAACGTCCGGTCTCGTTCCCGTTTCTCCAGGACTTCTAGAAACTTCCTCTGCATCTCTTCCTGCTTCAAGATCACGTCCCCCATCACCCTCTCGAAGAACTCCCTCCACTTCCGCTTCTTCCGGTGCCGCCGCTGGATATCCTCATCTGACGAGGTCGAATATCACAATACGACAATGTTTTCAACTTCAACCTAAAAAAATTTTAATGCATCCCATGCTTTCTTATTCACTTTTGTTTCTTGTACATCCCTTTTCTCTTATGCATTTTAATATGGAGTATTTAGATTCACCTTACAGCTAGTACTATGAATAGCAATAATTTTGATATCTAATGCAGTACATATAGATCGATGGAACTTGCTCCAAATATATTGTTGTTGCACCAAATTTTCTATCATTTGGCAATACTATATTAATTTTCAATTAGTCCGTACTACTTGGCAAGTAATAAACACAAAATCAATGAATGTGAAAGAAAGTAAACTAAAACTATGGTCAAAAGTTACAGGTTGCAAACGCCGGCCTCCCGGAAATGCGGAACTAGTGTTTTGCCCAGATGAAACAGTGAATTGGGGCAGCGCCGCAGCGACTGGCCGCGGAGGATTCCCAGCCGGCGCCATGACTGCCATTGGCGGCGCCTGTGAAGGAGTGTTGAAAGCCTCGAGCTGATCGAAGAAACGAAAAGTCTTGCCGTCGGATTTGGCGCCGCAGCCTTCTTTGGTCCTTTTGTGATACTTAAACACGTTCTCAAAGTTGGTGTTCTGACGGCAGTTATAAGGCATATGTCTCCAGATTTTGCAAAGATTAGGAGGCCGGTTCGACAGTCCAAGTGCTTACAGGATAGGATGACTTTTTTGCACCCAAAAAAAAAAAAAAAAAAAAAGGATAGGATGACTACTAAGGAGAACTTGATTTGGTTGAGTGCATTAGGCAGAGTGGAGGCAAGCTGCAGTGAAATTGGGTAGGCAGTATACGTGAGGCTTTGGTTTCTGTTCCAGTTAGGCCAAATAAGAGAAGTAGTTGTGTTAGTGATCCCAGCAGTGAGGAGTGTGATGTGAATCGTTTTGATGATAATGGCCTTGGGTCTGTTTCTTCTAGGGATGATCAGAGTGGAAACCAGCAAGGGAATGACAATGTAAAGCAGCGACGAATGGAAGGAGAAGAAGTGAAGAACAAATCCTAATTACAACTAACATGGGTTGATGATGGGGTCAGAGGAAATGCTCGAAATGATCATTTTAGCCCCTTCACTGACGTCCGCTGAAGAACAAATCCTAATTACAACTAACATGGGTTGATGATGGGGTCAGAGGAAATGCTCAGGAAATGACCATTTTAGCCCCTTCACTGACGTCCGTTGAAGAACAAATCCTAATTACAACTAACATGGGTTGATGATGGGGTCAGAGGAAATGCTCAGAAAATGACTATTTTAGCCCCTTCACTGACGTCCGTTAAAGAACAAATCCTAATTACAACTAACATGGGTTGATGATGGGGTCAGAGGAAATGCTCAGGAAATAACCATTTTAGCCCCTTCACTGACGTCCAACTAACGGATGGTTAACGGAAGGACCAATGGTAGAACAAATTTGATAGTAAGGGTCTATTTTGTCCAAATTAAAAAACGAGGACCAATTTTGAAAAATCACAATAGTTGGAGAACCATTGTTGGAATTAACTCTTTTAGAAAAAGTTTCTCTTTAAGATATCACATTTTCCAAATTGTTTCCGATAAAAAATTATCTAAAAATTTGGACAAAATTAAAATCGAAATATAGCATATAATGAGTCAGAAACCAATGCAAGCTTGTGAAAACCTATAATTTGCAATAAAATTGGGCCAAATAGCTACAGCTCAAGTTACAAGTTGCCTGTAATAAAAAATATAAAAAAAAAAAAAAAAAAAAAAAAATCACCAGCAGTTATTTAGGCAGGGCAACCAAATTGTGTGGCAGAGAGGTAGCATTTTCATTTCATTACATTCCCACAAATTCAATGAAAGTCAGGCCTAAGTCCTCAACATTCAGGAGGAAAAAGAAAGTGCTCTTCAGAATGTCTTTTGTGAAACTCAACTGGCAACATTCTAGTCAGTTGTCATATGAATATCTTCTCATTGCAATGTGATGACCAAAGAGGTATCAGAAACAAGAATCTCTCCAACTCTATGCAACAAAGCGAGTGATCCAAGGTAAGAAGAGAACGTGGGAAAAGATACCTGAGCCTTCCATCTGCTTTCAAATTTCTTCTGTTTTGAGTTTCAATAAGTTGGCACACTCCCACCTAACACATCATGATTTACAGAAACAACTAATTCTGCAGATACAAGGTATGTAGTCGACAGCAAAATGTATAATAAATAAATAAATAAATAAAAATAATAACAGCACAACAGGAAGAAGGTCTCATGGTTATCTCATCTCCTTGTCTTAGGTCCTTGGATACTTACACTTTCAAAATGAAGCATTTTCCCAAGTCATGACTTTTAATCTCAACAGAAAATGCAGGTTTTTACACTAACATTGTAATAACTGGTTGAAAGTATTAACAAGCCTTACATATATAGTCTGCAATGGTACTGCTTAAAGCTCTGGCTTCATCCAGTATAAAAAATTTTGCAAATCCTGCAATATGGTATATATAATGTTTGACAATAAACAGATTACAAAGTGATACCAGGGATTGGCCATGTCTGGGAAATTGGACGCATGAATTGTCCGTTTGTTCATTCCACTAGAATGGCTGCAAACCCCGGCATCATCTGTGAAAAGTCAGAAGCAAGGGAACCATGCCTCCACCTGTAGCCCTGGAAAATGCAGGGGACCTGATCATTATTAAGCTCCTTAAAGGTATTTCATATGCTGCCACTATGTATGGAGGGAATCTCCTTACATGCATACTCAAAATAAAAAACGAACATGGAGACAAAGAGAGAAGCTATTACTCTTTAACATATTACAAATTTCAGTATTCAATCTGGAGGATTCAATAAAGTATAATTATTTTTAATATTGCATTTTTTTTTAGTATATTTCTTTGGTTAGGGGGAAGGGGACATTTTAGAGAAAATAAAGAGAGCTCATCTTCTGGCATTGTCACCCCATCCCATAAGAAAAATGAAGTACATTCTAATTCAAATTAGGCACATCCACACACCTATTTTCATGAGTTCCAAATATGCAATCATAAGCTCACCTATGTGTGATGCATGTGCTTTCAAACATCAACTCTAGACAGTCGCATAGTTGTCACAAAATGTAAATACATTAAGATGAAACGTATTGGTAATTAAACAAGGTCATCGATCAATATATTCATTATTTGCAATATTTTTATACACTTTCAAATAAGAACAATTACATAATCCCATTGCTAGAAGAGCTAGTCCCTTGAAAAGTAAATATATAACCAGGGAGTCCAAGATTGAAGATACAAAGTTAACATGAAACCTTGACCTTTACAAATTTGAAGGAGTGGCGAGGCAAGAACCTATAACAAACAAGAAAGGAACTGCTACATAAACTATTATCTTAAATAACTGCAAGATTTAGCAGAAATTAGGTTCTTTAACTCCATCAAATGTTCATCATTTGAAATATGGAGTGTAATACGGAGATCTGTCAACATTGTTTCCTGATCCCAAGTTAAGGGTCCAGAAGCATACAATGCCTCCAGAGTGCAATGATAAGCATGCAACTCTAACCTATGAATACTTTCTGCCAAATCCTCTTCTGGTGGAGGAATACTTTCCTCCTCATCTACTGAATGACAGACTGACTCTGCATCACTGCAAAAGGCATCTGAACATTTAAGAGGATTTGGTAGAAAATGGCAACGGAACTTTACTGGACTTTCACTAGTAACACTACAACTACCAACAGAGCAAGCATCACTATCAAAGTCACTCAAGTCTGAGTTTCTCAAGGATGAGAAACAAAAGACACCATCTAGTTTTGCTTTGTCGATTTCGTTATATCTAGTTGACCCAATATTAAAGGAAGCATGCATGTAATTTTCACCCAGTGTTTCTCTTGGGTAAGCTACAGCATCTACCTTTTCCAGTAAGGGTGATGGAATTAATCTTTGCCTCTGGCCATTTGTTTCAGCAGCTCTTAGCTTTTGGAAGTGTATAGTATGTGATTCAGCAGCTGATGAGCAGTATGGAGATGCGCGCTTCAGAGATCTTGAAGATACTGCATGAGACTCTTGTAATCTACTTTCTCCTTGAAAGTTAGCCAAGACATCAGATTGCAGCAACTGGAAGTCCAACTTTTGATAGCCAATGGGAGTTGATAGTTTGAGAGTGTTGACCTTTCCACATTCTGAAGAAACCTATGGAATGAAAACAATATAAAATTGTATTAGTGGAATGTTTGTGATATAAATACATCTAATTGCAAAGAAAAATCGAATGGAAATAAAATATTGAAGATGATGCATGAACTGATAAAATTTTCTAACAAAAACATGTCATTTCAGAAAAGTCAATCAAGAAGAGAACTGAATGGCAACAGTTGATTTTAAAAACTCTCCAATGCAAAATCCATGTAAGGTTAACAAATAACAATTATCCTAATTGCTAATGACCTCTAGTAGAGAAATGTAATGTTATGTTGCTAAAAGAAGAAGAAAGTACCTTAGACATCAAAACCCATTTGCCATCTTTCCATTCTTGTCGCCTCCTCATAGAAGATATATGAATGCTAAATTCATGAGAGGATCCAAGTAGTCTCACAAAATAATAATCTCCTTCCAGACCATAGAGAACAATGGCAACTTTCCAGGAGAAGTCATCAAATACCTCTAAAATGTCCCCAGCTAACCAACTCTCTGTATGCTGCACCATAGGAGGAGAAGGTCTAATCAACCTCCTCCATACCCTTTCCACCATTGATTCACTTTCCACCAAGGAATCAAATCTCACAATGTAAGTATGGCCATCCCCAGAAAGTACCTCAGCAGTACGCCACGAGACTGGAACCTCAGCTTTGTTCATTACCTCTACTTTAACCCCTCTTTTAAACTTCATCTGAGCAGAATTATGTTAAATGCAATCACAACCTGATCATAGACAGAAGCCATTAGAAGCAGACAAATGCAATCTGAATTCTGAACATAAGATAAATCAAAACCCCAAACAAACTTCTCACAGGTATTGATAGAAATAGATCAGCAACATCACAAAAATGTGTAAGTAGAGCGAGGGATTTTCAAATCAAATTCAACAATAAAAATATACTAAAACCTGGTAAAAAAAATATTACTCCGTAATAACAACGAGAACCCACTTGCAGGACGAGGACTACAAAATAAGTCAAACCGGACAAGTAATTACTTAAAAAATTCCTTGATACAGAAAACACATGATCAAATTTTTAATCAAAATCAAAAACAAAATTTACAACATTTACTTAAACTACGTTACTCAAGAAACAAAAAATCGGATTAAACTCAAATGATAGTTAAACACTGATTAAATAGAAATATTCCGGTAAGTTACCAAAAAAAACAACAAAAGATGAATAATACACACAAAATAAATAAATAAAAATTGTAATATATGCTCGTTATACCAATAAATTTAACTCTACAAAACCAGAAACTAAAATCAATTAATCTACAACGAAAATTCAAACAATCTTCAGGGCAACAAACGCCCAAAACTGTAACACAAAATGCCAAAAAAACACACACCTCTTCCTTGAAATTGGTGAAATTTCTCTATCAAAAGACTTCTCCGTTGAGTTCTCGATCGTTTTCGATGCTCAAAAGACGAAGCCACGGAGTCGAGAATTTGCGTTTTCTAGGGTTTGTTGAAGATTTTGTGCAAGGAAATGCAAATTTGGGGAAGAAGTAAATCGGTGAATAAATATGGGTGGTGAGGGTAATATCGGGAATATGATGGGGAAAAATGTTTTTTTATTTTTATTTTTGTTTAAAAAACTAACTGGGAAAAGTTGGGGGTGCGTAATGCACGCCTCCTTTGCTTTGTTTAGAAACCACCTAATTCGTGTTAGAGTGGGAAACAGCGACTCCGCCAACGCTCCCTATTGTGCGCGTGATTTTCACTATTTTCTCATTTCAAATTTATGACAAAAAATGAATTTTTTCTTATTTTTTTATTTTTTATATATTTTTTATTTAGGAATAATTAATTTTATTTATATATAATATACATTGATTTTACGGCTGAAAGTTAGTCGGTCGGCGGGTCAATACTACCGTAAAATATTAAAATAGAAAAAGAGAATATGCGAAAAAAGCGGAGCAGAGTAACGTTAAGTTTATTGAAAGTAAGATCCGTTACAGTGTGACCCCGATGGGGTATTTATACAAGGAATCAATTCCTAAAGAAGGCAATAAGAGGGAAAATAACTAAAATTAAGCTTAAGAAGCTACAAAACTGACGGACTATCTTCCTAATGTGATAAAAGGAAGTTACTTGGCGGGTGGCGCACAAGGAAAGAATCTCCGCCAAATCTACCTCTAACCGACTATGGAGTGCGCACTCGGTCAGGGACACACCGATTGCCTACCCTGGCCGTCCATCCGAGCCAATTAAGGACCCGGTCGGTGACACGGCGACTGCCGAGCCTGGTCGCCCAACCAAGACGACTAGAGGACTGCCCGAGTACCTGTACCATTATCAAAGCAACAGAAGCCTCTCCCTTCGAACTGCTAGGTGTCCTAAGCAATCAGAACCGACTGCAAACCTTGTATCTAGCTGAGTGCCCGATTATGGGGTATCTATCACTAACCACAAAAGAAAACAAGAACATTAAAAAACAAAATTACGTCACACTAATACTATCACCTAACAAACAACTAACCTAGAGGGTGTTGTTATAAATTTCTTAAGAAATAGTTTTTTTTTTTTTTTTTTGTTGATGCTTATTAATACTACTAGCATTTGTATGCACGTGAAAATTCATGCCCAATATTAAAACAAGGAAAAAGGGTCAAATAAGCCCCTAAGCTATACACCAAAAGTCATTAGGCACTTAAACTTTAAAAAAGTGCAATTGAACACTCAAACATGTCAAATTGAGTCAACGAAGCCAAAAACCGATAAATGACCTGTATAACATGTCATTTTAGTTCCGACGAAAAATCCGACAATCAGCCCTCCGTTTCGACGAGAAATCCAACGACGGACAAGTTGTGGTCGGTCGCCATCTACCATAGAAGGCGACCAGTTGGTCGCCTTCTCCGGTGGAAGGCGACCAACTGGCCGCCTTCCCCTAGAGAAGGCAACCAGATCTGGTCGCCTTCTCCGAAAAAGGCCTGGTAGATTATGGCGACTGGTCGACGGATTTTTCGCTGAAACGGAGCGCCGGTTGCCGGATTTTTCGTCGGAATTGAAATGACTTGTAATAACATGTCATTACCGATTCTTGGACTTCATTGACTCAATTTGACATGTTTGAGGGTTTAATTGCACTTTTTTAAAGTTTAGGTGCCTAATTGACTTTTGGTGTTTAATTTAGGGGCCTACTTCACCATTTTCTCTTAAAACAATGGTAAATACAAATAATTAAAATTTATAATTTGAATTATATATACACAAATAATAAATGTGTATTTTATACACACATATGATTACCATTCATAGAAATTAAATTAAAATATAATCAACCATTAAATTAATTATATAATGATTTTAATAAAATGGTATTTAAAGAATAGGAAAAAGATATGATAGATATAGGTGTATGGTAATAATGATGGAGTTATCAATGTTAGAATTAGAAAGTAACGATGTAAGGGTAGTTTTGTCCAACAAGAATGTAGTATGGACAATTTTGTCTAATAACATTGAAGTGTACAATATTTAAAGTAAAATGTATACATTTATTAGCATACAAAAAGATGGACATAAATCAAGGATATAACCTTGATTTAGACTTATTATGTTTTTAGATTTTAGATATAAATAATTAGCATATAAGTCTCACCATACTATGGATAAAAATAATAAGAGTTAATTCCACCAGAGGTCCATTGTCTTTGATGGCAATTTTAAATTTAGTCCTAGACTATCGTTTTTGTCATTTAACATCCCTAGACTATTATTTTTTGGACACTTTTAGTCATTTTCATGACTTTTCCTATTTTTAGTAAGGACATTTTTGTCTCTTCATATTTTTCTTTTATTTTTATTTTTTTCGGTTTCAACCTGTTTAATTGATGTATAACTTTAGGTAATCTGACTTTTAGTAATCATATTTTTCAACCTATTTTTAGTAAAGACCTAAACCAATTAAAATGGTTGAACCAGAGAAAAATAACAACAGAAAAATATGAAGAGACAATAATGCCCTTACTAAAAATAGAAAAAGTCATGAGAAGGACTAAAAGTGTCCAAAAAAAAAAAACAATAGTCTAGGGATGTTAAATGGCAAAAACTATAGTCTGGGACTAAATTTGGAATTGTCACCAAAGACAAGTGACCTCTGGTGGAGTAATATGTTTTGTAATAAAATGGGTGAAGAACTATATAACAAGTAGAATTTTATGATATATTATACGGAGTAATATGTTTTGTAATAAAATCTACAAATTTAATAACGGCCAATAAAGTTAGGCCCCTAATGAGAATTAAAAAATGCTGGTGTAATTGTTTGTTGAAATGAATGGTTCACATTATTTTGACTGGTATTTTATATGCGTGATGCGAAGAAATTACTCAATGTTAAAATCTTAGTTATATTAAAAAAACTGTGTGTGTGTGTGTGTGTGTGTAGTTGTAGAATTAATATTCATATTATTGAAGTAAGAATTTTAGAAATGATAAATTACTAAATATAATTATGAAAATATTTAATTAAAATTTAAATGAAATTAAACTTACCATTGAAGAATGTAAGAAAATATATTGTGTATGTATATGTACTACTGGAAATTATGGAATTTCCGACCACCTGGAAGTGATCTTAAATCAAGTTGATACCAAAAAGTGCTCAGAAATAACAACAAAGGTTTTTCCGGATACCAAAAATGGTCGGAACAAGGTTTTCGACTTGATTTAAGATCACTTTCAGGTGGTCGAAAATTTCATAATTTCCAGTAGTGATGCATGGTAATAATAATGTAAAAAGATAATAAAAGTTATAACGATGGATATTTTTGTCCAAAAAATTGTGTAGTATAATTTTGATAGCATAATGTACCAAAAATTTAACAGAAAACACTGACTTAAACCAGAGGGCAGAGGTATAACTTGGATTGAGACTTATAATATGTTTTTAGATTTTAGTATATTTATTGTTTTTCCTATTTTACCATCTATTATATCATTTATTTTTCCTAAATACCCTTGTATTCTGTCAGTGTAAACTTTAGTAAGAGGAAGAAGAAGAGGAAGGGGAAGAGGCAGAAGAAAGTGACCCCAAGAGTGAAGAGAGCTTGAGAAGAAAAGAAGTGAGGACGAAGAAAGAGCACGATGCCATGACCTACGAGGAGCGTGTGGTGGCCTGTGAAGGTTTTTCCTTCATGAAGGCTCAGCTGGTCACTATGAATGTAACACCCCACTTTTCTAAATCTTAATTATAATTCTAAAACCACAATTAACATAAACTAAGCAGCGGATAAACAACTTAATAAGTAAACTAGTGGGAATGTCACCGCCACAACCACCACTTCGTGGTGGTTGCACAGGCTAAGGATGGAACTAGAATAATAAAAGTAACTAACATTCATAAAACTTAATCAAAGGTCATAAGGGGAAAAAACACCCCGATGTCTAAGCATCAAACTGGAACATCAAATCATAAGTCTACAACTCCGTCAAAATAAACATCAAAGTCTACGATCCATCATACTAAACATCATGAAAATAAAGAGAGTTCAGACTACTAGATCTACTAGACTAGTCTAACTCGATCATCTCTCAAACGCTGGGCCCACCTGAAAGGGGTTTTACAAACAACATATAGACAAATAGGAAAACACCCGTTAGCACGAAGCTAAGTATAACCACACTCAACCCTATAAAGTACTACATTATATACTTTGGAAAAACATTTGTTCACAAACTCTAATCAAGCAATCTCAACACTTAGACAACTTTAAGATACATCACAGACTTTCTATATGCTTGCAACCTATAATATCAACATGCATGCTTCAAATATATATAAAATTCATCAACATAAACACTCCAACACATATTTCTCATAACAAATCTCATCACAACGAACTCAAGCTATCAATCAATCTCATACTAACAACCAATACGAAGTTATCATCATGCTTTCAAGATCACATCTTGCAACTAGATATATAAGATATCAAAGTGCAACTACAGCAATCATGCTCAACATACAATCTCGGTTAATCATTCTCATATGCAATCTAGTGCAATACTATACTCAAATGCAATCTCGTGCAAACATTCTCATTATGCAATCTCGTGCAAACATTCTCATTATGCAATCTCGTGCAAACATTCTCATTATGCAATCTCGTGCAATACTATAAGTATACTCATACACACGTTTGAAAAATAGAATACTTTTCTGGGGAGGTTTCTTAGAGTCACGATGATTCGCTTTCTTTTTCTTGAGTCTCTTGACTCGATATCTTTCTTGCTCAAACTTTCTCATACTTCACATTTCTCTTCTTCTGCGAAGCAGGTACTCCGCCGCAGCGAAGCCCTAGCGTACGGTGCAATCTCGTGCATCCTCCACATCCGTAACTACGGAACCTCTAACTCGTGGGGAGGTAGATCTTCACGAATCGTGAATGGACCTAATCGGCTCGGCAATCTAGCTGGCCACATACTCAACTCGCCTACAGAACCAGTCTCTTGGTTTTTTCTTTCTGTCGTGCTTTCTGTGTGGAATCATGTATCGTACTTTTAGTTTGCACACCCCCTAAC